CTCCAGCAAGCACGCATGAGACGGGAGTCGAACCAGAGGAGAGCTTGGCCTTGAGATAAGTATGTTGAATCATCGTGCCTCGGACGGACTTGACAGCCCGGATCCAAGATTCGAATGCCCTTGGATATCCGCAAACCGTTGGTCAATGTCTATTTCCGACTAGGTTCTCATGTACGCGAGCCCTGCGAGTCTGTCATCTGCATCTTGGCAGAGAGCCCAGAAATACTACACATGCATGCAAAGCGTCTGATATTGATTCGACCCACGCGAGTATTCTTGAGTTGGGGTTACAATAGTCTCCGAACAAGGCAAAACGCTATGAGCCTCGCAGCTCAATTCGGCATGAGCGACCACGATGGTGGGCGGGGTGAATCTAAGTCTGAATCATGAACCCTGGTGCCGGCAACGAGGTCCATTGGTTCGTCCGATGTCCGCTGGGTCGGGGTTTCAAGTTGACATGCCGTCTGGTGAGCCCGTGCAACCTTTCCGGCCATCTCTCTGGGTCACTGAGAAACGGGTGGGCAGATCATATTGCTTGATCAATATAAAGAAACTCAAATATCGTGGTGGTTTTTGGCGGTTTGCTGCAAGCAGCACTCTATCGACCTATCCACTCTGGCGCAAGCGGCCCTGCCTTTGCTTCATGCACCCGCACGAGTTGACAAACACCCCGCCCGCTATCACATTTCGGCTCCATGTGGCTAACCACGTGTAGAGCGCGTGCGATTCAAGTCCGCGCGCGGTGATGCCCTCACATGGGGTTCGTTGTGGAGCAATTGAGTTGAATCACGTCAAAGTCCCCACGCGATAGTCGCAAACGCGGGCCCGGACTCTGAAGAAGAAGCGATAAAGAATCAGGATATTGACGTAACCTGGAGGCGGGATATTGATTGAGCTATCCGCAGCCACACCCGCAAATACGACAAGTTATATCTTCCTCCTCAAAGTTGAGCTTCCCAAAGGTCATGTGCGATGGTGCGACCTTGCGGAACCACGAGAACGAGGAGCTCGGGTCGGCGTGAATTGGCCCAGTTACGCTAACGCCACAGCCGCGCTTCTCTTACGAGGTGTTCCCTGAGTCAAGCGCCCGCCTCAAGCCACGCCAAGTGCTGCAGATTACCTGGAGTAATCAAGGGGTTTTGGAACCAAGCTTTAGCTCATCATCGTAAGGTGTGATGCAACAGACGGATACCGTTGGTCGGCCTTCCGCGTACTCCGGACTTTTTCGGCCGGGACCTCTACCATGGCGTGGCCACATGCTGCACACCGGTGTGACAACGGTTGCTTAGCGTGCTCCAAACCCATGGCAAAGACGTGCTGCCGCATGCCTATTTTGCACTTAAACTTTGAGGCAAGGGCTGCCCCCAGCTGTAGAAGCCGTTATCTCTCGTGCACTGGTCTGGGTTTTCCGATCCTGAGCAATTTAGCACTCAGCTTGCGCCTACCTCTAGGCTTGGCTTGCCTTACCTGGCGTTGCGATTGTGAGAGTTTACTAGCTCAGGCAAGTCATTAACCTTAGCCAATCCGGGGTTGCACAATGTTTGGTCTTGGGAAATGCTCGCTGTTTCTGGTAAAATGAAAGCTAGCCCAGACGGAATAATAATCAATTGACTTATGAAGACAGGCTTCAGCCGAGGAATCAAGATACGCTTGCTACCGACAAGAAAGTGAACTTTCATCCAACGCAATTGATTGATCAAATGAAAGACATAGCGTTGCATGATAATCGTGAAAGGAGAGCCAAGCGAAACCAGTCTTGGCACTGTGCCGCCATGCCGCAGCCCTCCCACGCCGATAGCGTAGCAACGGCATTGAAAGCTGTAGGAAATGAAGATTTGACACTTGCGTAACCCTATCGGTCATATCCGCAATCTGACAGATGATGTGACAAGAAGGCAGGATAGCATTATCTTCATACCCATGGCGTTCAAGTTCGTCCCTTTTCCGACATGACCTTGATTTGTTCAATCACCACTGCAATTGACCGGGCTTTTCCCCAGTGATGCACTCCCGTCATGCCGAATCCACTCTATGGACCTCTCCCGCCGGCGGGAAGCATCCAGGTCCTCAGTATCAGACCAGGCGGTGAATCGAGCGTCCTGGAGGCGGGTTCGGAGGCGGGTTTCCAGGCGGGTTTCGAGTCATTAAGTCCCGAGACTCCTCACGACTGCGTCTTTTCTGCACGTGGAACAGGTTCTCATTTACCTGGACAATGAAGATGATTCGTGCGAGCTTAGCAGTGGAACCACGATGTTGAGGTGCCTTGAATCAGTACCAATTCACCGATTGCGCCATTTGCTCATAAATTCACAGATTCCTTGCCCCAATGTCGATAGATATGTTCTGTATCAGTCCGAATGTTGTTGACGATCTAATTCACTAGCTCAACCAACTAGTCACGAGACATTCGTAGATAAGTAAGCGGACGGCCCAGAAGTGATCAGATGACTATGTATATGAGAGAGTGTCGTCTTTCTTGAATCAAGTGAAGAAAAGAGGCATTAAGTGCATGTTGGTAAATTTCGAATGGACTCCCTTGGGGCTGGAAGTGTCTCTTAGTCGTGTCAATCTCGATGAACACAATCAGACTTTTCCAGTCTCACCAGTTGTTCCGTGGGAGAGCTGTATCTCAACATAGGTGCATATGTACTGTACTGACCGGTCTCCCATCGATGCCAAGCCGGCATGAGGCTTCGTCTTGAGTCCTGAACCAGCCGAATGAACAGATAATTTACTACCGCCGTAGCAAACGGCAGCAGTGCACAGGATGTTAGCCCCAAAAAGGCTGCTGTATTCTTTCACAACAGAGATTAATACAGTCATATTCTGTCATTGGTGAAATACATTGAAGGCTAAAAGAGCTTCACCTGACGCTAGGCAGACAAAACTCAGCCAGATACAACTAGTATCAGGCCCGCTTCCAACCAGTACATTAACAGTTGAACCAGTGTAAAAGACTGATCTTCCGTTTCCGAGTCGTTCTGAAAGAATATCAAAGATCGGTTTTCATGAAGCATTCATGTCTCGGAAATCGAAATTCAGACCTAGATACACTATATCAGATCTTACACTTTGGATTAGGGCGGATCAGACTCTGGCGAGCTGCCCTTCCAAAGAATGTCAGACTGCCTCTAAGCACTAAGCATGTATACAGTTATCACGCCTCGAGCGGTGTGATGACGCACTAGGACCAAGCCTCGTCAGCGTGCTCGCCAGCGTCCATGAAGAAGTTCCAACTCCTAGTACGGCCATGCTCTGATATGCAATAACCTCCCCACTTCTTTGGCTTGAAGACCTTATCAGAAGACATATGTCGTCGAGTCTTGAACCATAAGGAAGATGGAATTCGAACTTGCTCGATCAGCTCACCGAGATAGTAAAGGACTGCTGTAAAATGTTATGGTATGACATTGCAGATCGCTCTTAGTGTTCCTAATTCAAGTTATGTTGGCCAATGGCAAAAGAGCCAAGAAGAACTGGGTAAAGCCCAAAGTCGCAAAGTATTTATTATTCATCAAACATAACATTACCTGCGTGACTTGACCCATGTCCTGCGATTTCACCATCGTCGAAAGATGGGTATCGTAAACCAGGGTGCTGTGGATGGTAGCTGCCTTAACTACGACCTGTGGGAGCATTTACGGTGTTATCACTAGTATCAAATGTGTCTCATTATCTTAAAAAGGCGCTGACACCGCCAATGTAGTTGAGTTCGGATGTCATGACATGAACGCGTCACAGGTGGTTATAGTCGCGAGGTTGTATTGGAAAGAGTCCTCATCTTGTAGGATGAAAGGGCATTCGTATCTGCCATTGGAATTTGGCGCTGATAAGATTCTTCAGACTGCCCTCGGCGAATTACTTTCTGGAAGTGAACTGGAATCAGAGCAACGCCTGGGAACCTCGATATTGAGGAGGAAGAGAGCATGCATGTATGCCTTCCTCAATCTCCAGAAGTCCTAACAACCCGCGCGCGTACATTCGAATCATGTCGTAAATGAGCGACTGAGAAAGACGAAACAAAGACTGGCATAATCTTATGAGGGCCAGCATGAATCTGATATCCGCATCTTTCCGTAAGGTAGAATGATGCAGGTAGTCTCGTGTATCACAAGGTCAAAGACAATCTATTGCTGACAAGGATGCATCTTCCGGATTTGGGTACCGATGAGCATCAGGGTGCCTTCCGTACCTTGATATGCGCGTCGACTAAAACACCTTGTTGCGGAATACGTGGTCTTACTGCTCATTTTCCCACGTGCCCTATTAGAAGCCTGATAGGGTCCCTTGAATCTCTCCCTTCTGCGGCCAGCCGAGGCATCAAGACCCTGTCCCTCTGCCCGAAATATTTCTTATTCATCACCATGCATTCCGACGTGCATCCGCCCATCAGCAATTGGCCCTTTTGACAGAGTGATGAGCACGCCTATCTTGTCTCGGCGGTAAGCGACGATTTGTCCGTTGGGCGTTCCCTTGTGTCGCAGGACAGAAAAACCAGACCAACGGTAACCAGATATAGGAAACGAGAACCCCGATGTCACCCCAGTCTCATCGCTTTTTTGGGAAGGTTGCAACAGATCTCGCGGGTGTTGATTCATTGGGACTCGGCCCGTAGCGGTCACAAGTGAAATCCTTCTCCCATCGGCCTTTAACCTTTGCGAGATGCATGCAGGCTTGCTGGTCCAGACCAATTGGCCAGATACCCGAGTGCGTGTCCAACCTCCTGTCTTACCTGCATGTTCCAATTTTGAATCCTTCCAGGGCTAGGTCCAGTCAGCCTGCGTGCTGCTTGCCCTGCTGGCGGTGGCAATATCACTAGGGCTTTGATAAGACGTGCTGACAGGGAGGTTTAGATCTTTGGTGAGGGTTCGAGATGGAGTTAAAAGCTTGAGTTCGGCAGTCGCATCCTCCCCCGCAAAGCCAAGTCGTCTGCCCCAGAAGTTCGTCTGATCTGGTTTCCTCGGTTTTCTGTCCTGCTCTCGAGCTACTGAATTGTCAAAATGGAGTCCGACAGCGCCCAAGTATCAGAAAAACACGCTCGCACCGAATCAATCGAAGTTGGCGAGTCGCAGCCCTTCGACCAACATGCGACTAAGAAGCTCTTGAGAAAGCTAGACTGGCACATCATTCCCTTCATGAGTCTGATCTACCTGTGAGTCGTCGCACAGACATAGCGCCAATGCCACCACAGCATCCGGCCATGCGACACTGGTACTAACCTGGATCAAGACTCTGCTTCCTTGACAGGACGAACATTGGAAATGCTAGGTTGGACCATTTGGAGCAGGACCTCAAATTGAAGGGCATTCAGTACAATGACTGCCTTGCCATTCTTTTCCCGTTCTACATCGCGGCCGAGATCCCGAGCAACATGATGATGAAGCGCCTTCGGCCGTCGATCTGGCTGACATTCATCATGGTCTGCTGGTCTGCGTCGATGATCGGGCAAGGATTCGTCAAGGACTACTCAGGGCTCATGGCGACTCGCGTATTTCTCGGGATCTTTGAGGGTGGTCTGTTTCCCGGCGTCAACTACTACATCACGCAATGGTGAGGCCTCTCCTCTGATGCTCCGATGAACACGTCCTTGGTGTGGACGAGGCTCTAACAAATGGTTGCATAGGTACTGCCGACACGAATGTGGCTTCAGAATGGCTCTCTTCTTCTCAGCAGCGACTCTCGCCGGTGCGTTTGGTGGTATCCTTGCGCGAGGAATTGCCGAGATGCACGGAGTAGGCGGCCTCTCGGCCTGGGCATGGATCTTCATCCTCGAGGGTCTTCTGAGTATCTTGGTGTCCTTCACTGCGTACTGGGCAATCTACGACTATCCTGCCACGTACGTTGAAAATTCAGACAACGATGTATGTTGCGTATGAGCTGACAGTCATCATTAATAGAGCACAATTCCTTTCGGAGAAGGAGCGATCAGAAGTCCAACGCCGACTGCAAGTAGACTCAGGCCACCTATCTAACGAGTTCAACATCAAGTATGTCTGGCAGGCCATCAAGGATTGGAAGATCTACATCCACATGCTCATCTGCATGGCGGGCTTCTGCCCCATCTACTCGATTGCCCTTTTCCTACCAACCATTATCAAGAACATGGGCTACACCTCCAACACCGCTCAACTGATGTCGGTGCCGCCGTATTGCTTCGCTTGTATCTTCACGATCGCCGCCAGTTGGTATGCGGATCGCGTGAGACAGCGTGGTATTTTCCTGATGGGCTTCCAGCTGGTGGGAATCCTGGGCTTCGGTCTCTTGGTCGGTACCAGCAAATCCTCTACGCAATATGCCGGCACCATTTTTGCCGCCATCGGTAAGCTTCTACACCCGTCGTGACTCGTCCTGATGGGGCACGAATCTACCTACATGCTAATCCATCATGACTAAGGCATCTATCCTCAAATCCCACTTGGTCTCGCCTGGAACAGTAGCAACATCGGCGGAAGTTTGAAGCGGGGAACCGGTATTGCGATGCAAGTCATGGGTGGTAACTGCGGCGGCATCATTGCGTCTTACGTCTACCTTAGCCGGGATGGACCCCGCTACACTACCGGCCACAGCATTCTCATTGGCTTTGTGAGGTAAGAGAGAACCATAATGATACGTTGGCCAGTGATGACGCGTGCTGACTTTGCCTAGCATGGCCTTCTTCTTGACGTTGTTCATGACCACATGGTGCAGAAGGGAGAACGCCCGCAGAGACCAAGTTGCTAGTGATGCCGGAGTGCAGGAGTTGACTGCAGAGCAAAAGGAGCTTGAAGCTGAGCTCGCAGATAATGTGCCGTGGTTTAGATACACGATCTGAGAAGTGTGGTCTGGGGAATCGCCTCTCTCTCAAAGGGCTGAGGCTATAGAGATCAAATAGAGGGGCAAATCCATCCACGCAGGTTGTTCGACGCCTTGCCTGACGGTATTTTGCCCCGAAATCAGATCGTCCGGTGATCCCCTTGGACCCTTTGTATAGGCCAGGAACGGTGCTGTGTAGAGGGACTATGCACTCAGCGACTGGCAAATAGAGTAGGCTCCACTGAAGTCTCGGCCACGATCCGGGCTCTGGTCATTGGAACCTTTTTGTAACGAACTCAGTCGGATCGCAACCCTAAAGTCGGGAAGATCTAATCGCTACCGTCGCTATTATAGCTCTTCTTATTGACACAGGTTCTCGGCAATGACATCTGACACCTCCATTTTCGGTCCGAACAAGTGAGAGCCGCTACGTCCCATGTTTGTGTGAGATTCGATGCGGTAGTACATTGTAGACGCCAGCAGGCGACGTGGCCGACGAAGGGGCCTTTCAGAAACCTGGGCGCCGCGGTGGGTGGCGGGCGGGATCAAAGTAAGCTTTTGACGCTTCGTCGATCCCGGAGGAGTCCTTGCGCGGGACGAATCGTTCCATCGCGCTTAATCCGGGGCCTAAACGACGTTGAAGGAACATGGAACCCAGGATGGCGGTTTCAGAACAAGGGACTGTTTCCGCGAGAACGTTGGTGGTTTGAACTGACTGACATTGTCATGAGAGACTTGGAAACTTCTAACCAGTCGAGAGCGAGCGAGCAGAAGAATTGAGAATGATCCAAACATGTTTGGTCGTTAGACAGCACGATATCGAACCTTTGCAATAATCAGATTGTATCCGTCATACCCGGTGTACGAGAATCTCCGGGTAGCTCAGCCACTTCATCGCCTAAGAATGACAGAACCGACCGGTCTCGAACGTCATACGACAACGAACACGACGAATGCGACGAACACGACATGACCAAAGACGTCAGTTTCCGAAGCCAAGCCACAAGACTACAAAGCCGGAAATATGCAAGGACTTTAGAGTATGGCTAGGAGTAGAGATTTCGATCTCAGTAAGATAAAAACCCGCGAGTCCGTGGGGCTATGTTGGTTGCGCGATCAGATGGATACAGGTGAAGAATGATAGGTACCAGGGCACAGAAGATCATTGTTCTTCTAGAAGACCTTTTCAGGGTTCGCTCGGTTTCGGTTTCATCGATACTCTCCGGCCCCGTGGCTAGTGGGCTCGCGCCACGAAAAATGCTTAGCTAGCCTAGCGCCCCACGATGGTAGATGAGCTGATTTCCTTTGAGCGCACGTCCTTGCCGGTAGAATGGGACATTGGGCCGTTTTATGCCCTCGATGGACCTCGTTTGGGATATAACTCGGCGAGGTGGAATGCAGCCTTACAGATAGTAGTCTGTAACGCCCCCGGAAAGGTTGTGGCTATCCGTAGCAACAGGTAAGCTACGAGGGGGAAAGGGGAGGGATGGCAAGTGTGCCTTGCTGCCGGGCTGACAGCCGTCAAGAAAGATTTGGATTGATGGACACAGGGGACCGGGTAGTAGCGGGAGCTTAGGGTTCATGGAGGTAAAGGGGCATAGCAAGGCCCCGTCCTGTCCGTTAACCCCGGAAGCCTAACACAAATCTCGTCGCCGGGATCACGGCGTGATGGCGAGGGCACTGGCCAAGACGGGAGGATAATTTTGGGAGGAACCTTGGTAGGAACCTTGGTGACAGAATGCTATGCTGCCACACTGACTTATCTCATCTGCGTGGACGTTGAGTGGTTGAGCGGCGTAGAGGATCCTAGCCATACACGTATTGCCTGTGGTGCGTTGCCCACCCAATACATGTATTTGGGTATGCCACTCCACGCAACGCATGTCGACGTTTGATGGAGGCTTGGTGGAGGAATTGACGTCTTGATGCCGTGGCTCTTGGCCACATGAGTGATATTCAGGTGTGCATGTCTACAGATACCTCCTAGTTGGTGGTAGTCCCCTACTAGTACTTCCAACGGGCAGGATCAGGAGCCCCCAACCCGACGTGGATCGTCATTTAGCGAACATGGATCTAGAGAGAGGTGTTGAATCTTTATTAGAGTGCTGCCCCTCTCGTGGCACCCCTGAGCCTAAGCCGGAGCCTGAGCCACCACCACCATTGGCACCACATAGGAAGAGTCCTTCGGTCTGATGATAGCTTAGACGAAACGTAACCGTACACACCGACACACACCACTCTTGCTTCTTTACAATCCTGCCCATCCCCTCCCTTCAATCTCTACACTCGAGAGTCAACAACAGGGCTAGGCTCCAATAGGAACGGGCAGCATACGGCCTTGTTCGTTTCACTTTCTCCACGCACACGCCATTCCAGATCCGTACGAGCCGCTATGTTATTGTGTTTCTGACGCACGCACCCGTGCTTCGGCTTGACTCGTAAGCAAGGCGCAGTTTGGAGCCAGCTTTTCTTCAATACCCGCCCCGGCGCTGCCCAGTACGGGACGGGGCAGACTCACTCCCAGTCACTCCGAGAATCCCAAGAACCATCTTCCCCGTCTAGGTCACTGGTCACTGCTTCGCTCGCGTCTCCCTTCACGATATAACTCGAGTGGCTTGCTCCGCGCTTCGATCTTGGGCGAATGTCCAAGACCGGCCCCATTCGGATTTGAACTCAACCACGGCTTCGTCGTGCCAGCAAAAGCTTCCTCCCCGACGACAGACAGGACTGGACCATAGATACATCACATCACCACAACTCGCACTCACCTTAGTAACCTAACTTTACCTTACACTACATCCATCACTTATTCACGCTACCGTCGACACGCGAAGCCATTACCTCAGCCGTTCCGCTGCAGAAAATACCACAGACCATCTCCGGCCCCGGCGCTCATCTCCCCGACTTGCCTCTCCTCTTTCAGTCCCAACCTATTCACCATTTACCATCCACCAACCGACCATCCATCCATCCTCTCAACCCCACATATTCGCTTTCGGTCTCCTCGACCTGCTTGTCGAGACCTCCAACGACACGCCAAACGATCGTTGTCTACGGTACCTTTAGCGGACCGCGCCGCTCTTGAAGTGAAGAAGAGCCACATCTTGCTGACATCTCGTCACCGGTACTCAACCGATTCGTCAGATTGCCGCCTCCTTCCCCTGTTCATCGCTCTCATCGGATTTCTGTAGCAAGGGGGTTTGAGGTCTAGGTGTCCCCCCAAATCGTGAGGGTTCTCTTCCGGCAGCCCAAAGGCACATCGCTCGCCTGTCTGGGGTCCAGCCTGCCCACTCTTCATCGGACGCGAGGTTGGGGAAGTTACGGCAGTGTTGTCCCTTTTCGCCAATCTAGGATAAGAGCCCAGGTCTAAGAGGGAATAACGAAAGGGTTGCTTATTCTGCTTGCTGCAAGATGCCGCGCCTAGGGTACAAAAAGTCTCGCGGTGGCTGTGCAAGGTGTAAACAGCGTCGCGTAAAAGTACTTACCACCTTTCATCCATTCGCATACACATGCACACTCGTCAACCTCTCTACCACTCACAAACCATCTTGTATATTGAACGCGGCCCGGCTGACACTTCTGAACCCAGTGCGATGAGAACAAGCCGTGTGGCGCCTGTATCAGGCACAACACCCAGTGCAGTCTTCTTGAGGGCTCAGTGGACGGAGGCTCCGGTGACAACATGAGCTGGGAGCCGACATCCAATTCTAACGCATCGGGACTTTCAAGAGTGCCGAGTTTCCAGCGAAGGAGCTCATCGCGAAAGGGGTCCAGCGGCAGCCGCAAGACGCAAACGCCATCAATCAGTCCGATAGACCACTCATTGACGCCGCCTAGTCTGCTCGAGGCCACCCTCAACCTACCAGCAGACTTCGTCAGCGACCGGGGCTCATCCATCGGAAATAGGAGGTCATCTATCGCCGCCTCGAGCCCTGACCCCTTTCCTTATTTTGTCAAGTTCTCAACCGAGCCCGTGGAACCGGTTCATTTGAGCAAGTGGATTACAGATCTCGAGCTGATGCACCACTACTCCACGGCCACTAGTCTCACGATGCCCAGGTCATCAGACGTGAGCAGCATCTGGCAGTTTGAGGTACCGAAGCTTGGTCTGACGTACATGTTCCTGATGCACGAAATCCTCGCCATTGGTGCTTTACATCTGGGTTATCTGCACCCGGAGCAGCGCGAGTCTTATGCCTTGCATGCCTCACAACATCAAAGCGATGCGATAGCGGGCATGAGAGAGTCACTCATGAACATCACGACCGAAAACTGCCACGCTCTGTTCGCGGCGTCTTCATTACTGCTGCTCAACGCATACTCCACTTTCCCATATCAAAGGGGAGCGCCCCATTCACAAGAGGCACCGACAGTCGACGACGTCCTCGACGTGTTCTTACTAGTGAGAGGAATGAGTCATATCCTATCGTCATTCCAGCCCTCTATCCAGAGTGGGCCATTTAGGAACTTCTTCACAGAGGTGGTCACTCCTGCGTCAACACCGTTGCTAGAGGCAGTCACACAGCACCTCGAGAACCTCCAAATAAGCTTAAAGGCATCCAGCGCCGACGAACCGACCAAAGCCATCGTCAGCAAAGAGATTGACGTGTTTCTCGGGTGGATCATGCACGCCGTCGAGACAACGGCGTTTCCAGAGCTGCGAGTGGCCTTGACATGGCCCATTAACCTCACGGAGGAGTATCTGCAGCTGCTGCGGAACCGCGATCCGGCGGCTCTAACTCTGCTAGCTTACTATTCAGTCGTCGTTCGCTCGACCGAAGCTACCACGTGGTTCATGCAGGGATGGGGCATCAACTCGGCGCGAGCGATAGTATCAGACTTGGATCCAGAGTGGAAAGAGTTGGTCAAATGGCCTTTGGCATTCATAAGCGATAGAAGTATACAACTTTAGTTGTTATCTAAATAAATTAAAGAACAAAACATTTAGACTACCATATTCCGCTCATGCCCTGATTTGCCTCGTCGGAGATCACACTAGCTCTGCAGATTTGAGAGCAG